TACAATGATAACAAGTAATATAATAGAAAACGGTGATGATAATCAGAATTGCTACCATTGTCATCATGAAAATGAAGTATCGCCATATTTTCCCCATATTATAAACACAGGGAACCCGAGATCAGTAAGTAACTGAATCATGGGAGACACAACAACAACCCCAATGGCATAAACATGGACGCCATCAATAAAGGCAACAAAACACAAACCAGCAGCCTGAGTACCTTCTAAAGCTTTAACCAATGTTGCCTCGGGATGACTGGAGCCGTACTGGTTTTTAACGAGACATCGACGTCGTCTGCTGTCGTCTTCACGAAGATCGAGACGATAGAAGTATACTTCCTCTGGAGCTTCTTCCGGTGCCCAGGCCCCTTGCTCACTCGTTAGTTTGTCCTGAATCTAAAGGAAATTATAAGTTATACAATGAGGTACTTGCTGGACCAAACCCATATTAATCTCCACACGTCCAGGACCCAATTCATGCACGTGACACTAGTTTATAGTTTTAGAATATGGCGCATCGCTTGATACAAGTACTGCACTCGGGTTGGCTTGGGTTAGTGAACAAAATGCCCAGGCTATTCAAAGGTAAAGACTAGAAAAAAGAAAGAGGCACAGCCGAGCGTGTAACTAGGAAGTTATATATTTCTTTAATAATTGAATCAAGCTGATAAATAATAGCACACAGAGAAGAAATAACAACAACAGCGTCATTGTCACTATAACAACATATCTGCCTAGAAAGTTGCCTTCGTTACGAAAGGACTAGTTTATCCTGTTTGTTTCCGTATATGGCATGGATTTATAGGCATCTTAAAACTAAAAAAAGCACAGCGATCCCGCACGAATCCCGCAATTCATTGATATCCAACAAGAAACAACCGACATTAGTATAACAAAMACAAGCAATGGRTTTTACCTTCGTAAGTAACCCTTTTGCAACACAACTATGGCGACGTCGAGAAGCCACTARTATTCTACTTTGTATATCCTCRCTCTCYACAAAAAGCTCTCTCGTCAGGTTACACAGCTCTTCGTACTGGAAGTGTTTTTGCTTTAGRTAATCTTCAAGTTTTGCCATAATCACATAAGCCTCGCTCGTTGTCACAACAATTCGCTCTCTCATTGCATGTGAAAGTAGACGTCCYTCGTTGATTAGTTCCATGAAAGCTGCCCCACCGTGTCTACAAATATAGTAGAGCGAACCGTTTATAGGCCGAATTAGTCGGCGCAAATTGTGCCTACAACCATCGCATGCAAGACATCATTGCAACATGGCATGTTTCTTTCATTTCAATTTTACGTATACAATACCTTTGCAGAGAATTCTGCCACTCCTGTGAACACAGCAACATGACCAGCTCGACGCTTGAATCGCTCTTTTGGCAWGACAAGCCTTCAAACACCAGTTCTTGACCATGACTGCCTATCAGCACGCGCGACAGGAAAGGACTAAAGTCCAGCAGTATTTCTTTTAGAAGAGATCCACACGACTTAAAGCCAACCTCTACTTTCTCAGACAGACTCAAACGGTTAAAATCGGCCGAGGTTTTAGGGATAGTTGGCATTTTTAACGCCTCTTCTGGGTCAGTTATACTTGCAAATACGTCATCGTCAATATCTTGTGATTTACTCCGCTGACCTCCCCAGCTGACGGCTCGGTTGCGCGTTTTTTCCAAACCATTGGTTGCATCGAGCGTATCTGCAAAGAATATAATGCACAATTAATCTAGTGACTAGTGTGAAAAGCGTCGGTGTTTCTTGTGACAAGGTTTAACGTTAAAGGTTAAACACCGCAAAGATATGTCGCAGTGTCGTAGAACAGACCAAGCTCTGATTCGTCAACACGATTATCAATTTTTTAAAGACATTTTTACACTAGCAAGAGCGGTGATTTTTACGTCAATTTTATCGCAGACCGCGATTTCACGGCGACAAGTTGCAGGTTCATCGCAGCCAATTCGAACATGCTAGTATTTCATTTCAAATCGTCGCTATTTATGAAATCAGCGTGAATTTGAAGACTGCTTACACATGAGATAAAATCGCCATAAAAATTGCAGCTTAAATGTTGCGCGACCGAACAGCCCTAGATAGACCCTTTGCAAAAAATGCGGCCGCTCATCTGCATATCCCAAATGCCTAGCCAATTTTCCTTATCAGTAACAACATCAATATCGTTTTTTTTTTTAAGTTAAAACATTTATCTATATAGAGTCAATTTCGTATGAGTGGGAAACGGACGGTACTGTACTGTGACCTTAATCGTACTGTAACCAAATTCTAGTGTCTCATTGGTTCACAAAAATTGTGCAGGCCAGGTCCGGTAACTGTGCGGTAACCGTGCGGTAATTTCTACAGTACGTTTACCACTCATACGAAATTGACTCTATACAAGGTACATGTTATCTTCCTTTACACTGTACACTTCAGTCAATTAAGCGCAATTACATTGTTCAAGAAAACATGACCAGGTGCTTGACAAAACTAATAATATGTCCAATTCCATTATTTTGTACAGTAAAGTATGATGGGAGATGTAGCTTTAGTACTTTCTGTGTTCGCTAAAGCAGTCCCTCAAAAACAGTTTTTATGTTCCCTCTTTAAAGATTCTACAAAATAACTTGCATTTTCGAACAAAATTACCAACAATATATATATATGATATTCTTTGGGTTTATAAAAATGTGCGTACAGTTAAAATAACAATTCACGAATAAAATACCGTTACTAAATACATTGCCTACTGGGAAATTTTCCTGTTCTAGGAACTTTACAGCAGCTTCAGTATCAAGGGCCTATGAGCCCTAAAAAAAATCTAACCCGCTCTGACTTTATATTGCAAATTTGTTGGTAAATTTTGTGTCGACTTTAATTATTTCATTCATTCCGACTTTATGAAGTAAAGTACCTCTTTCATTGTATCTGAATATTCGATAACAACAAACTTATTAGACCTTTTCTGAGATAGCAGTTTGTATAATACACCATGGTCTAGATTTGGTACAAACATCTTTTGTTCATGCTACCAAATATTGAGTTTTTTGTGTACTGAATTCAACTAAAATTCCCCATTATTTTGTATTTCAGAAAAAGGTGTTTGGGGCTGTCAATTTTCCTCATCTTCAAAAATATGTATCTGTCAATTTATCTTCTGAAATAATGAAATAACGAAACAGAAGACACTAGTCACATACATGTGGCAGAGTCATCATTCTCATACGCCATATTTCGCATCTCATGCTGATTTGTTGGCTGTTGTTGCCTAATATTTCGAGTCTTGAAGATCCCTATTTTTGAAAGCAATTGCATGAATCCATGGCGAAAATTTTGACTGAAAACGAACACAATACATGGATTGGCGGTCGCGTTGGAGCTTAAACAGAAATATGCAATAAAACGGAAAGTTTTAAAAAGGCTAGGTGAAGGCGTACCGTCATTATAGACGAATAAGTCCATGAATATAACCACGTAAACAGGAATGTACGATATTACGAACGTTACGATGATCGCAATTGCCATTCGTACGATCTTTCGCTCTCTCTCAACTCGTTGCCGCTTTTGTCGATCCCTGAATGAGTCACCCAAAGGAAGAGACTGTCTCTTAAGACTCACGATGATAATGGTATACGCAACAGCCATCACAACAACAGGCATTGCAGCCAAAAGAAAGAACACTATCAGAAAGTAATTGCGAACGAAAATTTCACCAAATTCCCTCCCAAGTTTAGTGTACCATCCTGCCCGACATACATTCATCCCACGGATGGTCACGACTTCATATATGTATAGATAGACCGCATGTATGCTCATTCCCATCAACCGTGTAGCAAGGATCGAAACCTTGGATGTTTTACTTGACATAATGTAGTGTTTCATTGGATAAACGACTGCACTGAATCTATCGATAGTGATGAGAATCAAGCTTAGAATCGAAACGGCAATTGTTATAGCAAAAAAACAGTACAATCCTGCAAAACAGGTTCCCGAGTGTCCCTTTCACTAACCATTCGCTGGATTGCGTGAAAAGCAATAATAATTCCCTACTGACAACAAGGATTGGGATAATTAGGTCGGATATGGCCATGTTCAGGATAAAGTAGTTGTTCGGTTTCTTCATGTTCGTGTTGCTAAGGATGACAGCAGGAATGAGAATGTTTCCAATCAACGATACGACAAGAATAACTGAATACGCTATCATCTTGATAATTCTTTCTTGCTGGTTGGTTTGCTGGTCAGGACAGTATGGCGGCATCGGTGGTAGTTTTGAGGGATTATACCGAGTACCATTATTGCTGTTGTTGAACATGGTAGTTGCAGTTGAGGTAACTGTTGTCATGATCGTCGTTATTGGAACCGCTGTTGTAGAAGTAAGAGCAGCCGTGAACAAATTATTCATCTTTGAAGGTGAAATACTCTGTCAGGTTTGGAAAGTCTCCAAGAGATGCTTGGTGCCAGATTGCCTCCACTTAGACAAGCAACGAATGACCCTTTGGCAAGACAACCAATATCATGAGAAAAGCACAAATTGGAAAAATCTATATTGGCAAATAAATGTAATAAAGCTTTCGCGTGCCAATTTTGCATTTTCAATTTCAATTAAGTTTATTATAATATCCATGTTAGTTTGAGAAGGATAAGCCTTCGTTGATACAAGAAACCATAATGAATGTAGTATCTGATTGATTTCTTTTTTTTTTTTTATCCTCAAGAGCTTTGATGTTTGACTTTGACTACAAGCTCCCTTTAAATGAGTCCTCAGTTTTCATAATTGTCGCAATATTTGTTTATATATAGAATTGGACATGAAAATCTAATTCAAATTTAGGCAATATCAGTCTTTTGCTAATGTTCTAGTTTGCTAGTGTACACATTGTTCTTCGTACCTATATGGTGCTATTATTGTTTTGTTTGGGTCAATGTACATTGAAGTAGGACCAGGATTCTTTTCTATATTTGTACTCAGTTTATAATCGAAATMATCGGAAATGTGGTTTTGTCTATTATTACTAGAAAAGAGCGACAAAAATAATACCGATATAATATGCGAGTAATAATAGTTATTCTATTAATTACATCGTCTTATATATCATATTTCAGTTCGGAAAACCAATCATGTTAAAGAAATGAAACGGTTACATAAMTGAAGGCTAGCAGATGGTAACCCCAGGATTGMTTAGTTAGTGTTGGCGMAATAACATCTCATTATCTATTTTGAACTGGGTTGAGTCCACTAMTGTATTGTCATGATGGTAAGGTGAGATTTATAGAAATAAAGTCAAACCAATGCGAGGAATACGAGGAATGTACAGGGTTTTATTTGAAAGTTACCAGATTTTTACAATTTTTTACAAGACTATTTGGTTTGCTAGTAGTAAAACATGCAGCATCGCTTTCCAACTTATTTTGCAGGAAGGTTGAGTGNCATTTGTTCGCAAAATATTCCTAATTGTGAGAATAAAAGATTAATTCTATCAATTCTATTGTCTCCCTTTTCAAATTCCATGCGTTTTCTCGGGCTATCAATGAAACAAAAGAATATGTTGCTTGGTTTTGAAGCTAACACAGAGCAAATCAGAACTCGAAATCGGAGAATTTTGAATAACTGAAATTGAATATATAATATATATGGCAATCCCGAGATTCTTTGCAGGCTCAAGACTGTGGGCTGTGTACTGACGACGACAACGTTTTTTGAAATAGGTGTATTTTTGCTGTGAAATATCGAAAGGCATTTTGAGATGTAGGATGCAATAACAATATTGGTGCAAAATAACCGTAAGCGAACTGCTTTTAACTCAGCGAAAAAAATAAAAATAAAAAAGTTTAAACAATTTACGGTTCAAGAAGAGCGAATAGCTAAAGAAATGAGTATTGAATCGATAGAAAAATGCAATTTCTTTCAGATGAACAATGCTTTAGGTTTTTTCTTTTTTTTCTTCTTTTACTTATTTTCTGTCCATAATTTCTATTTCTGTTTTTGAGTCCTAGAAAGGACTGGCTAGCCACCGTATCACCCCAATTCCCTTGGGTCCGCCTATACGCGCCTATCCGCTTTTTAAGACATTCTGAAAACAAAGAAATATGTATGCGATGAGTAGTTGGGGCGCGTCGCACTATCAATACATGAAATAGAAATGATAGGAAGTAACAGCGCTGGAGGAAACGGTTATTCCCCTAGGAAATAAATTCGTAAAAAAATAATTCCGACCTAGCTGAGATTCGAACCCACGACCTTCGGATTTGTTCTACCGTTGCTCTTCCAGGAGGACTACAAGATCACCCCGACCTGCACCCCAATCCGACCTTGTACCTATGCTGGTAGAACATCAGTTGTATAAATCCGAAGGTCGCGTTTTCGAATTCCAGCATGTTTCTTTCATTTCAATTTTACGTATACAATACCTTTGCAGAGAATTCTGCCACTCCTGTGAACACAGCAACATGACCAGCTCGACGCTTGAATCGCTCTTTTGGCAAGACAAGCCTTCAAACACCAGTTCTTGACCATGACTGCCTATCAGCACGCGCGACAGGAAAGGACTAAAGTCCAGCAGTATTTCTTTTAGAAGAGATCCACACGACTTAAAGCCAACCTCTACTTTCTCTGACAGACTCAAACGGTTAAAATCGGCCGAGGTTTTAGGGATAGTTGGCATTTTTAACGCCTCTTCTGGGTCAGTTATACTTGCAAATACGTCA